GCTTCGATGGCAGCGAGCACGATTGCGGTAACAGATAGAGGAGCAGCTGTGAAGGTCACAAACCCACGTGCGAGGAGAGCGTGAATGGTCAAGCAGCAAAGCCTCAGCAGGTACCAAACGGGTACATGTTTAGCGCAATCACAGAAGGCAGAAGTGTGGCGCCTCTCGTGCGGCTTTCGCTTAGTTCGGTTCGCAGTCTTCTGTGTCCGCTGTGTTGCCTAGCCAGGGGCTGGGACAGCGCCCCGGTTGGCGTGAGTGAGGGGGTGAGGCGAGCGCGGCGGAACAGACGGACGTAGAGCCACGCGCCCGCCCGCCCCTGTGTTTCGGCCCGGTCATAGCCCCCGGTGCTTGTCCTCTCTCGGGACGAGCCGCCCACAGTGTAACACCCCATCAGAAGCAGCGGCAGCTGGACAGAGCTCCCTGCCTCACGAGCACACAAAGCAAATCGCCTTGAAGTGGCGGCAGCTGTCATAGGCTGATGATGGGCCGGGGCTGCTGTGTGAATCCCTGGCAGGGCGCGACTTGTGCTGCGTGTGATCTGATGATGGGCCGGGGCTGCTGTGTGAATCCCTGGCAGGGCGCGACTTGCGCTGCGTGTGAAATCCTGCACACCCTACACTACACACATAACGCAATGCCCTCTAAGACCGAGAATTCATGCACTTCTTCACATACACTGAATGAATGAAGGTTACAGTGGACCCCGTGCAAGGTCAGTACAATGCATCCCCGCATCACAATGCCCGAAAGTGAACAGTAGCTACAGCCCGCCAGGAGAACACCCAAAAATGCAGAGACACCCAGCGGGACACCACTACCAAACAGGGGGCAACAGCGACGCATCACAACTGCACCAGAAAATTATAAAGCAGGACTCGGGGAAAGTCGCCTACACAGGCACCTCAGGACACACTACCACAACCTACACACAGCCCTCCAAGGGGGTGGCGCTTGCATCAGCCAGAGCTTTGCTCGGCTCACCCGAGCAACCATCTGCAATTGAACTTGGCCCACCGTGCCCAGGGCCACGGGGCAGGCCCAGGAGTGATGCTGCCGCAGGGTGGCGCCCCCACCACCCACCGCGGGGGTCCCGCGGAGGTCCCGCAGCCCCACCAGGCCACCACCGTGCGGCGCATGTCAATGTGACAGTGTCGGAGATAATCGGTCACTTGTAATATGTTGTCCTGTGGAAAATGCACTTCGTGCGACATGCGACTTGACCCGACGAGTTGACCTGCCGAACCTCTTTATCCTTGGAATCCTGGTTCCTAGAGTGAGCCTCCATTGCATCTCTTGGTGTTTTCATGAGTGATCGCTGCGTTGATCGATTGCGTTAGGTTCCGCAAGGTTCCGCTTGTTCTTATCTTTGGGTTCACCGTATTCTTGATGAATTTCGTAAAGCTTTTCTGGAGTTAGTTTTGGTTCTACTAACGCCACCACGTCAAAGTCTACTTTGACGAGCGGAGCCCCTTGTCCTATTATTGTATGGACGCTCCTGTAGCGTTACTCTCCCGATTCTTTACGAAGAATGGAAATTGGATTGCTACTTGGCCATACAGAGTGGCTGCTCGCGCAAAGTTAATTCCTGGACTCCATGGACGTGCATCACTCCACAAAGTGCGTCGCCACTGCTCCTGCGACGCTCGAGCGACCCGAAAAAGTTCCATACAAAGGTCCTCTAATGAAATGTCGCGCGAGCCGACCAAAATCTGCGAGTTGCCATGGTCGAACAGGTCGCGTCCCCGCGCGCGTCCCACTTAGGTCGCCCAGCTGGACGAGCGTGTACGGCGCCCGGTCCGCCGGCACCCGATATGTACGTTTATGTCAAACTCGGAGCCATGGAAAGCTATCTTTGCGCTCCGATTTATCTGGAATGTCTCCTTTGGCATTTCGATATAGAATGGATATAGCATTCAAACGCTATTTTTTGCGGGGCGAGATATGTAAGCCACTGACTGACTGGCTGACTGATGACTGACTGACAGCAGTGAACCCGGGGGGCTCGGGCCCCCGAATGGCGCTTCGCGCCCGGGGCCTCGCCCAAAAATTAGGAAACGATGTGTCGTTTAAAAGAGTCAGGCAAATCAACAGCAGGTCATACCAACCCGCCGAAGGGCGCCCGACCCCAATATTCTTTGGGATCCAACTCGCCCCAATAGGAACCCTTTCTGTCGAGCTATCCTAAATCGTCACGAAACGCCACGACTATATCTGGACACGTCCTAACACTTTGGTCTCGGCGACTTCCGTAACCGAATTTAGCTGCTTAAAGATTTGCTTAGCGAGTTTGCTCACACGCTAAAAATGGCAAATTTAACAAATCAGCATTAGCTAGGCCCACGCCACATAGAACATCTGCTGCGTGCGGTGTAATAAGGATCGCCAGAGGATCGCGGATTGCGGTTACCATGGCTTCGTTAAGCACGCAAATGAATATCTTCGCTGTCGCTTTGCAATCGATATGCAGCTGAATTGTATCTACCTAACTCTCTTGGCGATTGGGATCTGCCTCTCAAGCGGCGCCCTAGCTACCTGCGACTCGGCCCTAGCTAGGAGGAGGCACCGTTAAGCAGAGCAACAGACAGGCGTGCGTGCGTCGCTGTTTGTACAAACAAATACATATGATATGATCAAAAGAACTGCCATCGAAGAGTCACTGTACAGAACACATGTGTTCTAAAGGCTGCTGCTGCGCGCGCGCGCGTCGAACCAGCGGCAGTTTCCACGCACTTATTAAAAAGTGACGAGATAGATGTATATATCAATCGCGACGTGATGAAAGACGACATTCACAAGTGCGCAATTTGCTCAGGTAGTAAGTGGTAATTCCTGGAACTATACTACATTGATGTGTGTTAGATGTTGTTACAATAATAATGTGTTGCTTGCTTGGGTATCGCGCGGTTGCTGCTGGTGTGATTGCTTTGTTTTCAGCTGGCAGCAGTTCGCAAAAATATGTAATATATAATGTCCATCTGCTGCCCCGCCTGCTGCTTGCAATCAAGGATCTGCTGAGAATACAAAACCCAATTTTATTTGTAACGCCAGGACAGGGACTACATCTATGTATATCTACCACGTCCTTCCGCGTGCGAGCCGCTGCTGCATAATACTTTGAAGAAGAACAAAATGAGGCGGCACCAGCAGCTGGTGCTATCACTACTCCTTTTGATCTTGAGAGCTTCGGGAGGTATGTATGTATGTATGTATGCTTGTATGCTTATAGGAACATCTATCGGATCATAAATATACACCCCTATGGCATAAAACGAGGGGTAAGCCCCCCTGAAGCATATTCCAGGGGTTAGGGTTAGGGGTAAGTGGTTACCCATGTGGCTATGTACGAAGAGAGGTGGGTAACCTAACCCCGGGGTAGGGATAACCCCTTACCGATCGCGAGTGGTAACAAAGGGGCCGGGGTAATATTGTACCGAGGGGTAACAGACACGGTAACCCGTGTTTACAAGTGCTCCTCGACCGTATGCCGGGCCATATGCTGGTGTCAATGGATTGTAGGATGTCCCTGTCCAACCTGCCTACACATGCTATCACAGCTGTCTCATCCGTCTATGTGAGCATGTATGCCTGTCTCGCCTGTCTATGTGTGCATACATATGTGCATGCCTCTCTATACACTTCCATCCATGCATATGCCCATCACGAGCTCACATGTCTACTGCCTGTCACGAGCTCACATGTCTACACATACAAACATACATGTTCACCAATCACTTGTGAGTGTACAATTGTAAAGATTGCCTCACCAACACAAGCCTTGCAGGGCTGTAGAGCCCGCCCATGGCCCCAGGCGCGGTGTGTGTATAGACTAGCCAATCACACAAACATTTCTCATCATATCAATGGCAAGAGAAGGGAAATCGGACCCAGCCCCGGATCCAGTTCCGTGTGATCTGATGTACGGCTCCCACTGCAGCAGTGGGCGGCAACTTACTTCATTATAACAATCTGAGACCTTACATACATACATACATACATACATACATACATACATACATACATACATACATACATACATACATACATACATACATACATACATACATACATACATACATACATACATACATACATACATACATACATACATACATACATACATACATACATACATACATACATACATACATACATACATACATACATACATACATACATACATACATACATACATACATACATACATACATACATACATACATACATACATACATACATACATACACCGCCATACAGGACTCAGCCAGCAGGCGGGAGATAACAGCGACAAGGAGGCTTACCTCGACGAGTTCAATAATGACTCGTCCTTTGGAGAAGCTCCCCCCCCAGCTGGGGAGTTGCCCTCTGACGATGCACAATCTTCCGAAGTCACAGCAACCAGCGGAGCCACGGACATCCTGGGCGAGCTGGTGTTCATGAACACCGATTCGGAGAACAGCGACAAACAATGGGCCATCCGCACAGGCGACGGCTCCATGACACCCATCGCTCCCGGATATAAGCCGCCCGCCACGGACGACCTGGGCCAGGCCGTGATGCCTGGAGCTGTGGTAGCGATAGTAAGTGGCTGCTCTGCTGCCTTAAGCTTCCTTCCAACTTAATACTTGCTCATAACATTATTATTATTATTATCCTTTTCATGTTTTATATGTGTGCGTATAATTATAACAAACGAAGTGCGTGTAGTAATAGGTTTAGCCTGGCGTACAAATGCGCATCAGGTATGTGTGTATGTGTGTATGTGTTTGTGTGTATGTATTTGTGTGCGTGTATGTGTTTGCCGCATCGATTTCAAACTCCCTACTACAATCCTACACTAACTCAAGCCAATTTCATGTCTCTCTCCCTCCATTCATTCATTCCACCCGCAGTCATGCCACGTGGACGAACTTGGTGTCTGCAACCCAGCTTCGGCTTCGAGCACCACCATCTTGTCGGCGAGGCCTGTGCTCTTGCCGGGCGCCAACAGCGACATCATTTACAAGCAGCGGCTGCTCGTCATTATCATGGACTACTCTGCCTGCCGTGCACCAGCCGCTCTATCAGAATTCGGGGCACGGAACATCTTCATGGGCAAGCCTAGCCCTGTGGGCCTAGGCAGCGGCATCACACAAAAGTACTTGCAGTGCTCGTACGGCAAGCTCAACATCACGGCGTTCAAGGCAATCACAGTGACCGCCAACTGCAGCAGCAATGAGCCGGGGCCGTCATTCTCTACATGCCCCGTGTTGAGGTTCATTAAGGACGGGAGCAGCGGTGCCAAGGACATCCTTGGTGAAGACGCATTCCTGTCGGACTTTAGTCATTACGTCTATGTTCTTCCGCCGGGGGTGAATGAATTCTGTCGCGGAGACTGGGCAGCAGTGCCGGGGCGGCAGATTGTGCTGCGGACGTTGTTGGGCAGTTTGGAGCGCTGGTCGGCAACACTGGAGCTGACGCTTCACAACTTCGGTGAGGCGCGAATGAATTAATTCGACTAGTGGGGGGAAGGCAGTAAGTAGGGTGCAAGACGGAGGAAAGGAGCGAATGGATGGCTGCGCGGAAGCTAGCAAACAGTGTAACTGAACGACATAAGAAAGAAAACGAGGGGATGTTGTCAGATGGATGACTCAAGAGGGCTCCTCGTGCTAACATTTGCCTCCTATAGATTATCTGTAATAGATAGCACTCCTAGTATTAGCTCGGCATTTTGTATGCCAGCCACGGCGGGCCGCTTTTTTGCTTCATCTGGCAATAATCTGATGTATGAAAACTTAAGAGTGATATTGAGTTGCATGGGGTTCTGCTCTTGGGGGTGCATGCTTGAGGCGGTAATTGCCAGGGCACTGGATGGATGGATGCCGTGTTTATTAACTTCTGACGCCATCAGCACGCAATGCATACACAACCACACACACGCGGGCGCGCGGGCGCCCGCCCACCCCGACGCAGGTCTGTGGCACTCATGGCAAGGCGGACATGAGTTCGAGGACGGTTCAAGCCCCTCGGGCCGCAAAGACGTCTGCCCCAACGCCCCCGAGCTAGCCTACCTGGGCTGGACATCGCCAGTGAAAGGCGGAGGCCAAGTCGACGCAAACACGCTGCCAGTGGGCACGGTCCGCAGCTTCAACCTGCCCGCCACCTACCTGACGTCGGACGGACACTTCGTTAGGGTTGTCCCCGACTGGTTGCCGACGTACAGCAACCGCACCGGTGCCAAGAACCTGTACATCGCCGTACGAGTCAACAAGGGCGGTGATGCGCTTCTGGCAGCGCCGTACGCAAACGCGGTCAATGTCCACGAGGTCAACGCGACCATGGTAAGTTACTTGCTATCTTATAATAACAATGATAATAATAATAATAATAATAATAGTAAAATAATAGAAACAATAATAATATAACAACTTAAATATTAATAATAGTATTAATAATAACAGTAATAATAATAGTATAATAATAATAATAATAATAATAATAATAATGATAATAATGAGAGGCACCATATCAAATCCAACCCACTTAAACGTGATCTGGACGGATTGGTTCAATCGTACAATCTTGTAGACGTATATGTGTACGACCGAGGGAGGCACAGCAGTTACATGCTGCAGCTTGACTCCCTCCAGTACCATTATTCCCCATCCTTCTCTTCCCCTCCCTGGCTTTTGTAACATTTCCTGCATAGTTCTGTGAGATAAGAAAAAGGATGTTTCAGTTACTTCGTGTGTTAGGCAGTTAGTAGAGCTGTGACATATGAAGCTGTTACCGCCGCTGGTAAGTATCACTGTATTGGTATAAGGAAGCCACTAAGTGATTACTAAACAGGTGGGTGGGACCCTAGGATAGGTCCGCTCCACGAGTGTAGTGTCCTATATTAGAACAGCACGATCCATGTTTAGTATAGGGTGCATAGTGCACGTGCATAGAAGGTACTAGAGTAATGGCTATCATTGAGCAGCTAGCTTACAGTTCGCAAGTATCAACTGGTCCATCAAGTATCCTTCCTTCCAAATAATAAGTGCGGTGCGTTAGGTGCTGTGCGTGAAGGGGGAGGATCCGTTTCCACCTGTCGGCCCGGGCGTTTTCCTTGATTCCCCCACATTTCGCGCGCTCGATCCCTGCTGCTAAGTAAATGGGAGTGACGATGCTCAACCGCTTTCCGTACATGCCGCCGTGCATGCCGCCATAATAACAACTAACTCGCGGCCTCTCGCCTAACTCGCCGTTTTGGTAACCTACCATGCCATGCACCCAATCACATCCCCCACAGGACAATGACGCCTCGAGGTACCCGTACACGGATCGCAAAATCAGCTTCATCAATTCGGCGGCACCCCGCAGCCAAGTCGTTCTGACCGATTATAAACTGGTCCTGTACGGCGGATCTTGGGTCAGTACGGATGTCCTCAGAGTGCACTTTTGCCGCTACCGTGATTCCCCGCGGGAGTGTCCCTCCCTGGACTCCTTGGAGGCCGCCCTGCCACCGCCTCCCAGGAAGAACCCCCTACCGTCACCGAAGCAATCGAAAGCGGCGGATGCCCGCAGGCCGCCCCCGCCTGGTGCAGCCGTTGGCGGTGTCACCGCACCAAAAGCAGTGGATGTGACAGGGGAGCTCACATTGTTGCTTACCCACCAAAAGGAAGACCAGTACATCATCATAAAGAGCGACGGCGACAGTGTACCCATTGCGCTGGGCTATAAACCCCCCACGACGGACGACAGTGGGCAGCCTGTGACCCGTGGAGCGCTTGTGACCATCGTGAGTATTCCACCGCCTCGCATCTGCTGCCTTCTTATTTATTACTATTATTACTATTATTACTATTAATATAATAATATATTCATATGATCATGATTATTATATTGTCATTGTTTATTAATAATAATAATAATTATTATTATTATTATAATTTAAAGCTGATTATTAATATTATTATTATCATTATTATTAATTATTATTATTATTAATTAATAATAATATTATTATATTAATTCTAATAATAATAATAATAATAATATTTATAATTATATATTTATAATAATAATAATAATTATTATTATCATTATTATTATTATTATTATTATTATTATTATTATTATTATTATTATTATTATTATTATTATTATTATTATTATCACTGCTACTATTGTCCCTTTCATAGTCAGTTGATAACGGCATGCTGCCTACGTGTCACTATGTTTGGCGCGCTTTGTGTGTTGCAGTAGCCACCGTACTAATACAGAATTACTTAGAATAATCCCGAACCTTAAGGGTAACCTAACTTGCCGTAGTGCTATAAGCCATAGTCATACGCCACCATGCCGACTCCTTGCTCGAGGTCCTCATCGCTACGTTTTAGCGCCTACACATTCATTCTGCGTGTGCCGTACGTTACGCGCGGCAGCTACTAGTCCTAATAGCTGTTATTCTCTAACGCATGCAACGCGTATTTACCTGTGTGAAATTGCACGCACGACGCTGACCTAGGGTGCAGCACATCTATCCCTACAATAAGAAATACAACCACATATTATGCCATTACCAGCCAATCAAACAGGATAAGGAGCAGGCTGGTGCCGGCACTTGCGGTCCTCAGCAAAAGCCCCAATAGCCCCAGCTGGGGGGTGCGCAAATATAAGAGATCCTGCGGGATCACCGGGGGTATGTTCTGGCCGCACCGGCAACCAGCGCTCGGTAGCAGTCATACTCCTAGGTAGCTGCGTGCGCGTATGTACTTCCAACAGCCACTCAGCCAGCATCAGCTAGCCCATCAGCTTTAAATGTCTCGACCACGGAAATGTGTTTGTATGTGTATGTATGTGTGTATGTGTATGACTTCGATTACACTGTGGGCCGCGAGAGCCGGGGGCCGTGTATGTGTATGTATGTGTGCATGTGTGTGTATGTATGTGTTGTGTATTTGTGTATGTGTATGTATGTGTGCATGTGTGTGCAATTGTGTGTATGTATGTGTTGTGTATGTGTTGTGTATGTGTTGTGTATGTGTTGTGTATGTGTGTATGTGTGTATGTGTGTATGTGTGTATGTGTGTATGTATAACTATTCAATCCTGTTGTTCGGAAAAAAAGGAAGGTTATGAAGTAATAAAGCTGTATGGTATGCTTCGAGTTTTGGAAGCACTACTGCATTCACACTCGCTCATCCCGGGCTTAATTATCATTAGCTTATCCATTCAATTACAGTCCCGATTGAAAACATAAACTCCTCGGCGTGTCCCCGTGTTCGTACAGACATGCTACATGAATGCACGGCTGGGCACCTGTGAACCTGTTCCGGGCACGAAAACCATCGTCTTATCGGCGATGCCACAGCTCTTATTTCCCGACAAGGGCGCCATCATCAATCAACGGCTGCTAGTAATGATTATGGACTATTCGAGCTGCGGCGTAGCCCCTACGATGAGCGTGAACGAAGTGCGGAATATCTATTTGGGACCGCGAGGGGACGGTAGCGGCGGTATCGCACAAAAATACACGCAGTGCTCAATCGGCAGGTTCAACCTGAACGCCACAGCGTTCACAGCGATCATTATTAATGGCACCTGCCAAAATGGAACGGCTATAGAATGCAATTCTCATCTTATGGGTATGGAGGCCAGAGCCAAAGCGAAGACGCTGCTGGGGGAGACGGCGTTTTCAGACTTCACCCAAAGGACCTACTTGCTGCCGGGCTCCTTTAAATGTGGTTTCATTGGCTTAGCAAACCTTGGAACCATTTACCCGGCATTGGACTCCTGGCTGTTGGCTATGGACAAAAGTGTGTACCGCTGGGCGACCGTCATGCAAGAGACCCTTCATAATTTTGGTGAGTCAACGACCCAGATGCATGCATGTATATCTGAAGCTTGTGTACCAAAGGTCCCACCAACAGTGGTTTTTTTCGTTTAGGGCGGGTCTCAATTTATTCCACCCCAAGTAACAAAGTTGCTAGGGTCGTCGTTATTTATTCCTTAAGTGTGAGGCGCTGGGGGGACCCACCCACACACAAGTTACAACTCCCCTCATAGACCAAAAGTCACGCACTGAGGTGGCGCGTTTTCGTTCGTGTGTGCACTCTTCGTGCACATGTGCAAATAGTTTCAGGCATTGTTTATGAGCAATAAGTAAAATCGACCAAGCAAAGACCCAAAGCAAGCAACCGCCGCTGCAAACCACAGCACACTTAAGGACTCTACCGGTTCATCATGTACCGGCCCCTGCTGCTGCTGTCTAGACACTTCCTGCCATATAAAGTCGCTCTGGCCCTTGCGGATGTGCTGCGACTGAGCCCACTTGGCACGGCGAGCGCTCGGGTTGGGCGCCTGGAATGGATTGCCGCCCGCACCGCATTCACTGTTGTTGTTGCCGAGCTGATTAGGCGATAGCTTGCGCTTATGCTGATCACACCTGCCATGGAGGGCAGGGGTAATGGCGCCCGTGTCATCAGTCGCCGCTGGCAGCAACACCATTGCCGATGCATTACAGCACCGCCATACCAAACGCCTTTCTCAGGAAAATGTTTAGGCTTATCTTGCTGTTTTGGTGTCGGTTCGACGTTCGAGTTGTTGCCTTTTGCGTGTTTGGCTATAAAGCCATAGCCGTCGACGCTGTTGCCGCTGCTGCCAAGCTGCTGCTGGGCAGGCTGCGGCCCCCCGCCCCTGCTGAACTGTAGCACGGCGGCGCCATAGCCGTCGACGCCGTTGCTGCCGCTGCCAAGCTGCTGCTGGGCAGGCTGCGGCCCCCCGCCCCTGCTGAACTGTAGCACGGCGGCGCCATAGCCGTCGACGCCGTTGCCGCCGCTGCCAAGCTGCTGCTGGGCTGGCTGCAGCCCCCCCCCCTGCCCACCGCCCCCGCGTGCAGGCTTGCCTGCCTGCCTGCCTGGCACTACAACAGTGGTATAACAACAATGTTTAACTTGCCTGGCTTCTCAGAAATGAGACCTGGACCAGCAATTGCTGGCAGTTCACGCGAAAAGTTACCTGCTTTCCTCCGCACGTTACTCTAAACAACTTTGTGTAATCACTTTTGACACGAGTAGAGAAGACCCGAGCATGCAGGTACTCAGAGGTGAACGCCTTTTGTCTATGCCTAAACGTTCCACGAACTCCTGCAGCTCGCTTTCTAAAGGTGTATGCTTGTGTTTACACCGGCAAATGGAACAGTTGCTATCGGAATTAACACCGCCAAAGGACTGACAGCTGTTCGCTTTGGCCATGGCCAGCGAAAAGCATGCCAGATCCTGCTCTTTAGCGCATACGTTCCATAATTATAAGTTGTATAGCAATATCAATCAGGATTCTTGAAAATGCGCTTACGCCCTGCCTTATTTTGCTTATTTTGGCTGCGACCCCTAAGACCAAGATACCCAGCCAAATATTCAGGGAACGAGCCGAAACGGAAACCTGCGGAAACGGAAACCTGCGTAAATAGGTTTCGTCACGCTTTCCGCAGCGAAGCCCAGATTGGCGGAAATGCGGAAAGAGAATCCGCATTTCCGCGTTTCCTGTACGGCGGAAATTCCAAGGAAAAGTTTTGAAATATTGGGGTCGCTTGTCGTACGTATCGGGGTCGCTAAGGGTCCCCCACCTTTACTTATACCCCTGTTAGCAACTGCCGCTGCTGCTGTGATTATATTCTTACCTGTGAGGAATGTTGGAAATACGCACACATACATATATATTGTATATGTAAAGTATAAATGTATATATTGTAAAAAATTGTAATTGATGAGCCATACATACTTGCGAGCTGACCAGGAACTAAGTTGATGCACCGTTTATCCGCTAGATTTGGTTGGATGCTGATGGTGAGTTGCCGAACCCAACGAATACATTCTGAAGTCGGATGGGGTTACGGATTAGGGTGCCCCTCTAGCAGGGGAGAGCAGGGAACTGCCTCGGGAAAGGGGGCCGCTGGCAAGTTAACCACCCTGTAACAACATACTTATGTACTGTATACAAGAATACTCTGGAATACTATTTATAAGCAACTATTAGAAAATAAAAACCAATAAATATACATCAAAAAATAAATTGTAAATGTAATAATGAAACGCAGTCCCAATGTAACAACCCAAGGTTTAAAAAGGGTTTTAAAGCATCATCAATCAGCAACCTTAAAACCCTAACTTGCAATTGGACGGGCGACATTGCATTGGTCTGTCTCAGTCGAATGTACCAAGTTTGCACAAGTGCCACACACCACAACTGCAGATTGCAAGACAGGGTATTATCAATGGGCAGACACATGCATGCATGCCTTCGCCCCACAGGTCTGAGGCACTCATACCAATATCAAAGAGAGTATGCAGATTTCTCAACCGCTATGGGGAGTGGAAACGCCTGTCCCAACGCTGTTGAAATGGCCTTCTTGGGCTGGGCCACCCCTGCGGAAGGCGGAGGCCAACTCGATTCCACCGAGCTGCCGGTGGGCATCGTCCGCAGCTTCACTCTGCCCGCCACCTACCTGAAGTCGGAAGGAATCTACCTTCGGGTTACCCCCGACTGGTTGCCGACGTACATCAACCCGCACAAATCCAAGAACCTGTACATTGCTGTACGAGTCAACAAGAATGGCGACGTGGAGCTCAAAAGGCCATATGCGGACGCAGTAAATGTCCACGAGATCTATTCAACTGAGGTGTGATGGATGGGGTCGTCCCAATGTCGTTTCTCCGTTGAGCAATCTGTCAAGCATTCGCATAGCAACACCGCGATACAGTTGGTGAGGTTCACCACCACTCTTCGTATCAGGGAATTTCCTCAAGTAGAAGTGCTGCTCTGCTGCTACTGCTGCTACTACTGCAACTGCTACTGCCTGTTCGTTTGGTTTTGCTCGGCCGCATCTTCAGATCTCTGGTTAGTCAGTTACTTGTGTTTGGTTCCTTATCAAGCCTCATCAATACAAATGTCAGTCGTCAATGTCCCACCATCATCATCGCCATCACCAAACAACGTTTGCATCATTCTTTCCAACATACAACATCCCGCTGCTTTTGCCCCCGCAGGACTACAACCCTGAATTCTTCCTCTTGGATCCCATCATTCAATTCCTCACCGCAATTGTACCCGGCAGTGTAGCCAATTTGACCGACTATAACCTCGTCGTGTACGCCGGATCTTGGGTCAGCCTGGACACTCTCAGAGTGCATATCTGCCGCTACACATCTACTCCTCAGGAATGCCCCGGCCTGAGATCGCTGCCACCGTCACCGAGGCCACCAGCACCGCCGCTAAAGCCAAGACCGCCAACGCCAAGTCCGAAGCCGCCGAACCCCCCTCAGCGTTCACCACCGCCCAGCAAATCTCAGAACCCAAGAGCTTGATAACCACTTGCTGCACGTGGCTTAATAAACTTGATAACGGATAGACGCGCGTGTTCTTACGCGCCGGCGTAGTAAACCTCACACATGTTTCGCAGACCGCATGGGGAATAGTTGTACGGCCTTGGGGACGTCGTCTTTGGCGGCTTGTTATATGTGATGCGTGACACCCGCCATCGCGACCCGTGCCCGTGGCATTGAGCTGCTGCCGCGAAGCCGCCATGTGAAATATTGCATGGAGTCGGGTAGTGCTTGAAGGAGACTCGCCCGGGGAAAAAGCGGGAAGGTTCCTTCATCTGCTGCGGCTTATGTGGTGCATTGGCCGTACGTTATAAATAAAGGAAATACTGCACAAACAGAGATGGGCACATCCAGTCATGTGCAAAAGCACATCGCTGGAGGCACGCAGGAGGAGTAGGGTTTTAGGGTTTTAGGGAGTAGGGCAATCTGTGCGCGTGCCCCTACCTATAAATCGTTTGCATTGCATCTTTATCGACCGACATTCAATCAATCATACTAAATATGTTTCTGCATGATTCCTTCGTTAACAGGGCTTAGTGGTGCGGTCTGCTGAATCAGCTCTAGGCCGATGTGCGCGCATGTGTCGTCTGCTGCTGGCGCACTCATGCTCCAGCTGCTTCAGCCACAAACAGACTTTGGAAATAAAGGGGATTAGTGGGTTAGAGGGATTCGAATCCTAAGGGGAACTCTCTGCTAGTATGCACAACAGCTCAAGTATTTGGGCGACCAACCTGCCGAATCTTATCCGTGTCATACGGATGAAGGGGCTCGTCCCCTGCCTGCATTGAATCTTTCTTCCCTTTTGACTTGGCCGCGTCCGTGTGGTGATCCATGACGGTTTCTGCAGCTGTTTCGTCGTGCATATCCGGACTAAGTATTTTAGTCACCATCTGCTCATATAGACGCAAATGGTCCTTAGTGACTCGTAGTTGGTTAATTGGTTGGCTAAGTTTTTTCCTGGTTTCCCCGGGTTCGTTTTCCCTTCCTCTCCGTTTTCTCCCTCTGTCAATTTTGTAAACTAACTTCTTTTTGCCGACCCTTCTGAGTCATAGTGAAAACCAATGAAAAAAAGCCTCTTAGACTAAAGCTCGAAGCGAAGTCAAAACATTTAAGCGGCCGCTTAATCGCGCGGTTTGGTGCAGCAAACTCCTCCCATACCGGACAACAGTAGCGCTCAGCTGTACTACTGCTACGTAGCTATTGTACGACAGTACAGCACATAGGGAAGATGCAGCAGATGTAGTCCCCCCCCCGCACCAGGAGCGCGTACCACCTAACCCCCACGCATCACGCCATCGGCGACAATCACCTCCTGGATCGACCAGATGTGGCACCAAATGAAACACCTCCACGAAAGTGGTAAAACCAGCAACCACATACACACACGCACAAAAAAAACGCGGCTCTGCATGCAAGCACCTCTTCCCCCGCCCCCCTTCCCCCCCACACACACCCACACCCACACCCACACGGCGCATCATTCTGCACCATCAAAAACGCGGGGGGCACCACGAATCGAAATCACAGGAAAAAACACAGCGCAACCCCCCCTCCCCTCCCTCCTTGCCTGCCTGCCTCCTTGCCTGCCTGCCTCCCTCCCTTGCCTGCCTGCCTGCCTGTTGGCCCCGCTTCCATCACTACCCCTAAGGGGGGGACCTCTTCACCCCACCAGCCCCACCAGCCCCATCAGCCCCTCCCGGTGGCAGCCCCCCCCCCCCAAACCCCTCCGTGCGACAACCAACCTCGCCACTGACCTGACCGACATCCCTAATGCTGTGGCCCTCCTCACCATATCTCCACATACATATGCACATACATTTACACATAAATACATACGTAAATACATACTTACTTACATACACGTGCACTCCCTGCTGCTCCTGATAATCAGTCGCCGCCGCCACCATGGCGGCTGTAGTCCAGATCAGGTGCCGGTTGCTAGTGCAGCCGAACCCCTAAGCCGCGGCCGTATCGGGTGATGATGTGGCGGCGCCACTGCCGCTGTTGGCGCACAGGTGGGACAGCCACGTGGCCATGTGGCGAATCAGGCGCTGTTCGCGGCCACCAGCCGCCTCGGACAACTCCTCTAGAAGCGCCTCCACGGCCGGGCTGTGGCGAAGCGCGTCCAGGAGCACGGAACGACCCGTGGGTCGTTGCAGCGGCGACGGTAATGAAGCGCCCGCCGACGCGCCGCCGTCGGCTCCGTCGGCGGCAGCGACATTACCACTGTTCCCTTCGTTATTGCCATCTTCCACGCGCGCGTTCGCGTCTGTTTTGCCAGAAAACGGGCTGTGGGACGCTGTGGAATCGCCGTCGCCGTCGCCCACCGCCGCCGCCGTCGGCCACGCCAGCCCCACGCTTGCTTCCAGTTCCCCAAGACCGCTGTCGCTACGGAATACGACAGAGCCGTACTTCAACTCCTCAGGCCCCGCCACCGCCGGGCTCTGCGCCAGGAGGCTGTCCGACGTGGCTACGCCGCCGCGGCCGCCGCCGCCGCCGCCGCCGCTGACGCGACGTGACGGTGCCGTCGCTGAGCCAACGGAACGACGGCTGCGCGGCGGCTCCGATAGCTCCTTCTCCAGGGCGTGCGCGTCGTCCCAGAACGACGCCTCCGCCTCTGCGTCACCGTCGACGCCGGCGCTGACGCCGCCGTCGGGCCCAGTGAGGCGCTCTTCCGCCAGCAGGTTGCAGCACAACCCCAGCGCTGTACTGCGGACCTCTTCATGTGCCTCAGCCTCAGACACCTCCGCCGCGGCACGACCGGCAGCGGCGGCGGCGGCTCCGCCGCCGCCGGTGCTGCCACCGCCGGTGCTATCAGTGCCACCGGGCGTGCTCGGCCGTGGCGGAGCCGCCGAGCGGCGGCCGCCACGGCGATGCGCCAGACCGGCGCCTGGCGCGCTAGCGG